GGTAATCTTAGTCTCAGGCTCTTAATAACAGCGGAGATAGAGGAGTGTCACATTGCAGCGACCGCCCCTGTTCAGTGCCCAGGTCTGTAGATCCGCTACACATACTCCATCTATCCAATTTCTAACTGCTCCCTCCAGTTCAGGGTCCTGGGGGAGCTGGAGTCTATTCCAGAAGGCAACAGGCACAAGACAGGACACACCCCCAGACGATACGCTAGTCCATCGCAGGGCAGACACACAGACTCACACCAGGGGCCAATTTTGCCAAAGCCTAATTTACATCCCAGTGCAAAATACGTCTTTGGACCGTGGGAGGTAACCAAAGCAGCCAGAGAAAACCAACACAAACACGGGATGAACATACAAACTCCACACTAGATCTCGGATTGAAGACTTGGTAAACCACTCTGCCAGATCTGCATCTGTTATTGCCATTAATTATTTGACTTCGATTTTGCCTGTCATAATGCATTACTAGATGTAGCGGGACAAAAGAAAAGGTCATCCCCTTCAAATCAAACAGTTTATCTTCTGGGACTGTACCCACCTCACTCGCCCTTCTCTACTTTAATAACTGACTGCATTTTTTCTTTTCAAAATGCTTCTAACTTTCTTACTGCTAGGCTTCTACTAAATATAAATGTGCCAACTATCTAATTTGGTTTCTGGCACGAATAGAAGCATTATGACGTGGGATTGATGAGTGAATTCTGATGCAAATATACTGAGAATTGCCATGTATTTGCATAAAAATAAAAAAAAGCCTCCAGGCACATAAATCCAATTAATTCGGGATACCTGATATTCTGCTGGTATTAAAATAGTATCACGCATAAGTCTGTTGTTTAGTTAAAGCACAGTATTCTAAAATCCATCCCAAACACTTTAATGGAAGTCAATAGATTTCCATTAAGCAATGTCGAACAATACAGAGAACACAAGAATAGTTAAAACGGTGAAATGGGTATCGATCATCGGTGTCTGCAGATATTGGATGAAATCTCCAGAAATATTTTCCATGTGGAAGCCACTGGGACTGGCGGAAGTCATCAAAAGCGAGTCCATGCTTTGCATAATAACGAGGAACAACAGCCTGACTGAAAGAGCGCATCATTAAAAGCTGGAAATGAAAAATGAAAAACACGAAATACCATCCATTTTTTTCACGCAGAAAAGAATGCAATTCTCGAGTGGAACAATGCCTTGACTGTATGTGTGGCTGGTACAGAAACACGAATTTCTGAGGTTTGTGGACCAAATGAATGAAAGCCCTCAAAATTTGTTGCTGCTACAGGCAGTACACGAGGAAAACTCACCTGAACATCGACCACTAGTTAGAGTTCCATTATTAATGCGAATAGATAAAAATAAAATTTGCGTGATATTGTGTTGAGCTTTTCTACTCGTCTATGGAAAAATCTATACTTTCACCTGAAGAGGTGAAGAAACGTCACACCCTGGTCCTGTCCAGGGTGTATCCGGCCTTGTGCCCCGTTGCTTGTTGGGATAGGCACCAGCTCCTCTGCAACCCTGAACTGGATGAAGTGTTCAGAAAAATGGACGAATGTTCAAATCAAGGGACCGCTGGTTATTAAAGGTTTAAAGATGAGCCCATTTTTTTCCCAAATGATCTCTTAATAGACTTATTAGAACAGATACATGATTAATGTATCACAGTTACATTACATGGTTGAAACAGGTCATAAGAAAAATTGATGATTTCAAGGCTGCCTGTAAAACGAGGATCAGGATTCTTAAGAATCACTCTCCAGATGTCATTAGATGCAGCTGGGGGTTTCAATTACTAAGTAATGTGATCAATATATCACATGAACAATCACTTTTGAATTTTTTTCAGTATAAAAGCATTGACATGGGCATCAGGTGGGGCTGGGCGGCAAATATCTGAAGATCTAGAACAGCTGACACCAGAATGTCTTTGGACAGTGGGAGGAAACTGGATCACCTAGAGGAAAACCCAGTCAAACATGGGCAGAACATACAAACTCCACACAGACAGTGCCCCGGACCCCGAACCCCAGGATCCCAGTGCTGCAAGGAAGCAATGCTCACCACCACAGCACCATGCACGACGCATGAAACATCACCTATTTAATGGATCCTTTGTTTAAACAAGCGCTCCTGATCTCTGAAGAACGGTGATTTCGGGAGACCTGTAAGAATAATTGGGATGGGCTTTCCCAGGACCAGGACTGGAGACTCCCGTTCTAGAAAATGTACATAAAAGTTCCCGCCTTCCAGGAGCAGAATCCCAGGACACCGAGGCAGGGTAATGGGAGCTATCATCCGCGTCGTGTGGAGTTCACAGAGTTTATTGAAAGGCTCCAGGGTGTGACGTTTGTAAAAACCAGCCTCAGCCGCAACAGATCTCAATTCTATGACGCAAATCAAGGCTACATGTTTTAGAACTCGTGTCCTGTATCTCCCATCACCCAGCCTCTTCCTTCTCTACAAACCAAACCGGAACATTCCCAAATTATGCACAAATTCTGGTTTTTTTTTTTACTTCCCGCTTTATCGTCAAAAATAGACTGAAGACGAAGGCTTCACTGTCCCAAACGTCTCCAGACACGTCCAAGCCGGACTCTCTCGGGAACAAAGCACCCCCAGTAAAAATACATCAAATATATATACGTACACAGAATAAACAAAACAGTCGGACTTTTATTACTCTTCAATAGCATTCACTTGAAACATTTTTTTTTTTTAAAAACCTTGCATGTTTTGGTTTTCATCACATAGCCTTTTTTTCCCATAAACAACAATAACATCAAATAGAATTTGGCAACAAACGGGACACAGTTGTAAGTGACTAGACACACCAGACAACAGAAAACGGATTTCAAGTAAACTCTTTAACTGTAGAATCCCATCACATATAAACAAAGAGTATTCTGGCCATTCTGTCACTCTTTAGCACTCCCAATATAGTGGGAGCCTCACATAAGCAAACCTTCTATCTTAAAGGAGAAGTGTACCTCATTTCGGATATCCTGTTGTTTCAGTTCTAGCTCGACATACTGTATATAGACCCATTTGGAATCGCCGCTAATTTTACATCAACCCAATTTTGGAATGGCAGTTGTTTGTAACTCAGAATTGCAGACACAACTCAGGGAGGACGAGGCCCTGCATGTATACTCCTCCACCACACATACCGGCCAGGGCCAGTCCCAGTTTTGCACACTGCCATTTCCAAAAAGTGCCTTACAGCAGGGGGTCCCCCAATCCTGGTCTGTGGAGGCCCACACACCTCCTGGTGTCTGTTCCCGCTCACAATTACACAACCGAAGCCTTCGTTGGCTTAATGTTTGTATTAAATTGAACAGTTGGACGTTTTTTTTCCCATCTCTCCGTCGTGTTGGAGACCACCTCTACCGACTGCATTTCACAAGCAAGTGAAAAACCAGCCAATATTCCAATCGGGCAACCTGTCAGTTCAATTAAGGCTTCAGTGGGGGTAATTCAAGTCAGCTGGAATGAAAAGCAGCAGGTGTGTGTGTGCTCCTTCTTTTGTGTTCCTGCTCTTCTAAAATACAAATGTTTTAAAAACCAGGCCAACGTACATATGACTTAGCAGGTCAAATAGCTGGTTATCAAGATATAATTTGATATAATGAACAAGCAGTGCAGAAAACCCAGATCATATATATTCATTCATGTACAACTGCAATAAAGAGAGGGTCTTTCTTCAAAAAAACAACATTAATTTTCCTACATTTTCTCATTAATGATATAAGCTAGTTACATACCATTGATCCATATATCTTTTAAATAACTATGAAAATCCACAATTACTCAGATACCTAGAGAATGTGAGTATTACTTCTGTTTAGAAAGTAGATGTGTCTTAAGATGATTTGCAATCGTTTGTCTCACAAGAGGGCTGTTTCACTTTTATTTAACTAATGACTCTCTTGAAATGGATGAAGGGCTGATTAAAAATTATATCTGATGAAAGAGCACTGCACAGCACTGCCAACAATTTTAAAGTCAGGGCATTTTCATACCTAAAAACACTGGTAGGCCAAGAGCCAACTTCCCTTTTCCAGGACTTATAAATCCTCACAGTATTTGCAATTCGCGAAAGGTCAACACGTTGTTCTAAATAAAATAGACTCTGCCTAAAAAATACGCGATTTGGTCTTGTGCTTTACTTAAACTCAGGACATGGGGTAAAGGAGAGAAATCCACTTAAATCGTGGCTTTTTAAAGACTGTCCAGGAGGGTCTTTCCCCTCTATTAAGACACGACCTGAATAATAGTCTTCAGGCCATTCAAAAACGAGAAGCGCAACATTTTTAATAGTTTGTCACAAAGAAAGAAAAAGAAATCTACAGAAATACATCACGGAACTAAATTCTGAATGTTTTCTGCAACATCAACGAATGACCCACAGAAAAACACTGAAATAATAAAAGTATAACGAAAATGCATCCAGATATTGACATATTTTAATATACACGAAACATATGGAAATGTGTGCTTGATAAGTACTGCCATTTCAATATAAATTATTATTTGTTATCATTTCAATTGTTTTTTTCATATTGCAATCATTATCTAAAATAATGAGCTCTACAGTACCTCTATATTTCTGTTCTGTATTTGTAGGTGTAATATAGTTGTTGACCAGAAACAGGAGCATTTCTCTCCTTGACAGCACAGCTCTGGACAGCAGAGGAACGCTTGATTTTGGCCATTAAAACAAGTCCAGGCCACAATCCATTAAAGTGCAATGATGTTCTATCTTTTTTTTAAAAAAACAACAACAAAGGTCATTTATGCATTTTAAATACACCATTTCTTAATAGGAAAAAACAACCAAATAATACAACTGAGCACCACACTCTTTCCTCTTGGAATGTATAAAGACAGATTAAATTTATACATTGACACACACCTCCTAACAACAGGACAAAGCACAGCATCATGGTTCATTTACTGCAGGATGGTTTGAGCATCGCTCATTACAAACAAGTTCATTTAGGAGCCTTGATACTAGAAAAGATGTATGTACTGCCGAAAAAAATGCTTGCCGCATCGTGTTTCGGCCTTTTTTTAAAAAATGAAAAAGGTTCCATCTTGCAATAACTGTCCAACACACAGGACAAATGAACAGCTAGATTCAGAACACCCCACATCTGACTGTACTCACTACACACAGACAGGCTACAGTATAGCATGGGCTCTAGAAAAAGTGTCATATTTAGGGGCTCAACCAACAGAATGGTCCTCAGTAAATTGCACGTATTGCTTTGACAAAACGTTTTAAGAAACAGATTTTCACTGAACGGCAGGATTCAATGTCCAATACATAATCCCTAGGCCTTTAGAACTTTACTGTCTGCCCACAGTCCTTCAGCACAAGAGCTGGAAAGTCACATGCTCAACACAGGAAGTACTGAGAACAGGCACGACACTGCAGTTACTGGCAGCAGTGCGTCGAAAAAAGGACCAGACACCTATTCAACAGCCCCGAAACGGAATTGTTCATGCAGATCCGAGGAGACATTCAAAACTCGCAACCCTCTAATTACGAAAAAAGACAACCGGATCAGGACAAAACGCAGGCTACCGATATCCGTACAAAACAGCCGTTTAATATGCACATGCAGAACTGCAGTCTAAAAATGAATCTTGTAAACATGGATCACAGCTACCAAAAAAGAGACACTGTCCTACATCTAGGAACTGCAAAAAAAGTCTAAATTTTAGACTTAAATGTTGGACGTTGCCTTTAGGAATGTCGCAGGCAGTGCTTTTTTTTTAAGTTTCATTATCCTCACAAAGAGAGCTGTAAAACTGACGTGCTTGAGGGTGTTGGTGTTTCCCTGTGTGCGTAAGCTACACAGGGACACAGACACATGGTCAGATCAATATCCCAGGGTTCCTCCTCTAAAAAGTAGAAAGAGAATCAATTAGGGAAGACAAAAACCAACCACTGGACACTTCCAAAAGAAAAAAAAAAGGGTCTATAAAACACAAGGATGATTAAAAAGGAAGCCAGCTCAATAATCACTGAGCGTGCTGTCAATGAACAAGTTCTGAACGTCCAGCATGGTGGCCAGCTCCAGGATGTGCTTCTGGATCATTGGACTTTCCACAGTCTCTTCCTTGGGAAGTTGGGGATAGGTCTCGGGGAAGCTCCTGGTCTCCTGTAAGGAACACCAGAAGCTGCTTTCAGTGGCAAATTTCCATTCCTGTCTTTTGATAGTGTAGTCGAGAAGCTCGCTCCCAATAATTTCCTATCCTTTATTTCATTCTGTTGATGTATGATTTTGCACATTACCTGCTACCCGTTGTTGTTTTGCACTTTGCCTGTTGTCTCCGTCTTTCTTTTCTTGTACAATTGTATTGTTGTGTTTTTTTTCTACTTCTTACCGTCCGAGAGCTAGCTAAATAGCATTTAGTTACACCATATACCTGTATATGAGTATAACGACAATAAGCTTGAGGAACTTGATTGCAACGATGATGGTGATCATCATGATTCATTTGCCAGACACCTGCACCCAAGACTCCACAGTTAGAAACCCGATGGCTAAGACATTAGGAAGACACAGCCGCAAGACTAGATGATCTCAGTGTCCGGCTTGAGGAAAGGCAGACAGACTCCCATTACTCTCCACGGCTCTGGATCCAAAAGCGTGCGGTTCGATCCTAAACTCTCAACACGGAGATGGACCGGAATGGAGAATGAGAGAGAATAACAGGGGATGGGACTGACCTCCCGGAATTCACGAATTTATGCCATGTCCTGTAATGCTGTATGGGACCAACATTTCAAAACAAAAATTGAAATGCGCACAATTATTAGCAGAAAGCTACGCTAAAATGGTACATTCTATAAATAATCCAACACAATGGAAAAATTGTTGCTTGATATTATCCAATTAAGGAGGTGCAGTAAGATTGTCAGATTGTCATCTGTGCAACTGGAATTTGGGGAACTTACCTCTCAGTTTCCTCGTTTTTACATTGCTTGTCTCACACTTCTGCTCTGGAATCCACTCAAGTGAATCATAATATTAAGAGAAACATTTTCTTACAATGTCTCAGTGTCAATATAAAAGAAAACGTGCTTCTGCAGATATCTTTTTATTTACCGGTCCTTCAAAACTGTACCCC